CTTTCTGGGTTTTTGAGAAAGCAAAATTTGGAGGTAACCAAAGTAGCAAAAGCTGAGGAGACAAACAGAGATCTAATGGATTCACTCTGCCTACTGCTACACGTATTCTTAGGAGCTTCTGAAAACCTTCCTAAAAATATGACTCATAATTTTAAGAACTTTTCCTTCTCCCATGACTCTGATTTTAGGAGTTCTGACCATCATTCTGATCTGAAGTCTACTCTAACATGTGTCAGATGCTCCAGTATAAATTTTCTGTTTCATACGTTGCTGGGCTATTGATTCAATTTATCACTAGGAATATCTGACCTTCTAGGAACACACTAAACCTTTCATCCGTGTGTTAGCTTGATCTTTCTAAAATGAATTTAAAAGCAAAGATACCTTCATCCTCATACGGGTATTAAAGATCCCATGCATTTAAATAAGGTCGGGGTCTGGTATTCTCTGGTTGCAGAGAAAAACATGAAAATGACCCCAGTAGAAGTTAAGAAAACTGGCAAATAATTAAGATTAATCCTCAATCTTATATTTTAAACCCAAACTCATGATTTTTCAGAGTCTGACTCTTGATTTTATAAATCTGAGGTTTGCACTGCTTAATACCGTTCCTTCTGACATCTTCTCCACATGACGTTGAAAAAATAGTAAATGTCTTTAAAATCCAAACACCATATTTATTCAAATACAAGATGAGGTCCCCCCAATCAGCATAGGGGGAAAGCCCCTCATCTTACATTTGCATACAAGGAAACCACATTAAATACTTTGGCCAACTGTGAAGTTGATTAAATAAAGCCAACACTGAGCATGACCATAAAGTATTTGACTCACACTAGGCAACTATACTGATAGGTTAGTGCAATCCATCTGAATAAGATATAGGGTAGTGCGCATTGGAGCACAGTCTCCCTCCGCCCTGACTCTTTTATCAAGTGAGCCACCACAATGTAGACATTTCAATTTCCTCTTCACTCCCACAGCTAAGGTGCACCTTTCTCTCCCATTTCCAATGACTCGTGTTCCTTCACCAGCTTTAAATGTCTGTCAAACACCACCAAACAGGGCTCTTAACAGTCCAGCCAGAATCCCCTGTCACCCCCTCTCGGTCTGTCACATAGGATTAGTGTGGCTCTGCCTTCCAAGAGGTGGAGCTGGTTGCTCTGCACCTCACATGAGTATACATTTTTGGAGGATCCCAGGACTCATGACAAGAACACCTGGCTTCAGTCATGAGTTGAGGGCTAATTAGCACGTGGCTTTTTTGGGAAGGGGCAGGGATATCTGGAGTACACAGACATACTGAGCAGTGATGGGCTGGTCACCATGCGGTATTTTTATACACAGTTTTTTCCCTCAATGTGCTGGAGATCTGCCGCTTCAGAGCACGGTGCTACATGCAGTTGTATAAGTAGTGAAATGCACGTCAGCATGCAGAAAATGGCAGTGGTGCACTTTTGAACTAAAGCGCCTCTGAGGTGTTTTAGTTCAAAAGCGCGCTGCCCCCATTTTCTCAGTGCTGAAATGCATTTTGCTGCTTATACAACCGTAAGCGTTGCAGCACCGAGCACAATTCAAAGCGCCTGGGGCTGCGGCACTTGCACTTGTAAAAACGCCCCATGGCTTGACATGCTGTTTACTCTGGTGGAGCCCAGCCTAACGAACTACATGGTAAATCATGAGCTTTTTGGCTTTGGACCAATACCATGCACAGTTTGTACTATATGTAAGTACACAAAAGTGCTGCTTAAAAATGTGTTTATGGAGTACTTGTGCTGAAACTTGCAACAATTTCAAAAAGGGTAAAATGCATCAATTCTGGAAGAACTAAGTTAATGGGTTCTATATGCAAATTGCTACAGGTATGTTTATTTCAAGGTCTTTTTTTCAAATTTGTTCCTCACTTCCATGTGCTCAGGACAGCAGGATCTGACAGTACAGAGGGCCTGTAGGGGGAGGAAATTGTGGGAACCGACAGAGGGCAAAGGGGCTACCTGATCCCCCAGATTTATTTCCCCTGCTATAGCAGAGGGAGGGGGGGAAATGCAAGACAACCCTTCAGTAATTAGAACCTATACCTAGAAAATTATATCTAACATATAAATTTTCCATAGATAGAACCTAATTATCAGTGGTCTTCTAATCAATGTTATCTTATATTCAAGTAAAGAAGGTAGATCCATTTGGAATAATGTTGCTTAAAATTGCCAACTACATACCAGGAATGTCTGAGGCACAGCCAACCTGCTTATGACAAACTGGAAGGATGGTATTTAGTATTCTATCTTACTTGTCTTCAACTAATACAGCTGCAGATATCTAAAAAGCTTAAATCTTTTTTTCCTCCCAATATCATCTATCACTTATCCAGAAATTAATTAAAATTGTGTTCTTATATGTTCAACGATGTAAGCGGTGGTCTTTAGCTATTTATATCTGCACAGGAAAAGATCAGCTTATTTTGAGTAATTCATCAAACACTGACCACTTTTAAGAGTAGAAAGCTGGCTGGTTCCCCTTCCTTCATGCTTTGATAGAAAAGTCCACAGACATGTAATACAAACTGACAGCATTTTATGACTGACCTCCTGATACCTACTGGTGCATAAACAAGCAGTTGTTAAAACTTATCTTTGGGGCCCAGGGTTATCCCCTCCTGACTAGGAGGCTGCCAATGAGTAAATAAAGAAGCTAAAAATAGATTTCCAAAATAACGTGTACTGGTTAGTTGTTTCCACAACTAAAACATTATGCAAGTCTGCCACAGAAAATCCCTAAACATGGAAGTTTAGAGACATTTCACAGCTTTATTTCCTAATTTTCTAGGTGTTATGAATTGCATATGAAACACAAAGGTTGTCGTTGAGTTCCTTCAAATAAATACACACATTAATTTCCTCAGCTTCTAAGAAAAACATGGTTTCCTCTTTCTGAAATGGAAAGAAACTCCTCTGTATGCCACTGCTACAATACCTACAAAAACAAAGGAAGAGTAAGCATTGTGAAAACCAATGGAGGCCAATCTTCTTGGCAGGCATGCCATGAATTAACCCTGTACATTCCCTGAGCGCCTTCCTCTGCCCTGTCTGCTGCTCTGCTTTCTGCTCCCACTCTATGCTCCCACCCCAATCACCTCCTGCTCTGCGATTTACTTCCTGCCTTGCATTCCATCTGATTTCCTGCTTCCTACTCCATCTGCTGTGCTGCTTATACCCTCCCTGATCTGCTATAAGCCACACAGAGTGCCCATGCAACTTGTGGCAAGCCTGCCACAGGTTGGCCACCCCAGGTGAAAACAATGCAACTAATGTAAAGACCTATAGAAATCTGCAAAGTACATGCATTCCATTTCACTGTACTGGTGAAACCCTTCATGTTGTTCAGTGGTCTCAAGCTTACGGGCTCCGGGCCAGATATGGCCCATGGAGGCCTATTATCTGGCTTGCGGGTCTCAGACAGCACAGGCTGGATACAGCACTGCGGATGTTGCATGTGGCACAAGGAGTTAGTCCAGGGCAAGTGCTGCATGCAGGTCCAATCCAAACCAGCCCTAGAGCCAGCATGCAGGGGGATCAGCCAGAGCCTGCACACAGGGACAGTTTAGCAGGGCAATGTACCCTACATCAGTCCCTTGTGCTCAATGCAGTATGTGCAGCTGGTTCAGCCCTGCACACTGCAACGTGCCAGCTCTGCTCTGGAATTCACTCTGCACATGGTACACAAAATCAGCATGGGACAAATGCTGCCTCGGATGGCCACCTAAACTAGTCCTGTGTGCTGGCTGTAGCACAAACAGACAGCTTGGGGTCAGATCAGCCCCAGAGCCAGCACATGGGGCTGGTCTGATGAGGCACCCGATACAGCATGTGCCCCACACTTACCTTGTGCAATGTGCAGAGTGAGCCCTGGAGTGGGACTACCAAGTGGTGCAGCAGCATGCAGGGCTGGACCCGCCACACACTGTACATGGTGCAGGGAGTTGGTACAGGGCATATGCTACATGTGGTGCCCGGCTGGATCAAGCCCCGCGTGTTGGCTCTGGCATGGCCCAATTCAGCCCACGTACCGATCCAGTGACCGACTGAGTTTTATACCCCGATGTAGCTGCTCCTTGTACAATACCCTATGAAATAGCTGGTTCAATAATCTTTAAAAAGTCTGCTAAATTACAAAGCAGGTTTCATTTAATCTATTTATGAAGATTTGGGCAACCAAATTTTGTTCATGTTTATAAACAGTAGATGTGGCCTGTAGCCAAAATAATTAATTCACAAAACAAAATGTGCGTTGGGTTAAAATGAAACTTGTTTCAAGTAAAGCCAAAAACAGTTTTTAGAAGTAAGTCTGTATAATTAGGGTACCTATACACATGCTAGAGGTCTGCTCCAATGTGCTAACTAGCACACATTGGAGCAGACTCGATTAATCAGGTCTGCTGGAGCATGCTGATTATAGCACACTCTGCATCATGTCTATTCAGCATCCCCACACTTCAAAATGGCAGTGGGGGCAGTTTAGTTAAAGCACAGGAGCCACTCTAGTTAAAGTACCACTCCCCTCCACCCAAGAGCATGTGCATAGACAGTCTTAGTGAATATGAAAAATCCCAAGATAATATACTAATGCTATCAGATGCGGTGCCACATGATGGAATATTCATGTATCTTTCACATTTATACACAAACAATGGCCAAATACAAAGCAACATTTGCTATACAGACAGTTCATTGTCATTCCGTGATCAGAGGTATAATAATTACTGAAACTAGGGGTGTGCTGATAAAGATCTTCTTGGCTGATACCAATAACCAATGATTAACCAAGCATATTGGCCAATGCTGATCCAATAATGGATATTTAGTAACAGTGCAAGGCATTTTAAACTACTGCCATAAACCTTTTTGTTTGTTTGTTTGCAGGGTTGTTGATTGTTGCATTCCTTCACACATTTTCCCCCCTCCCTCCCCCCCACCCTGCTGCCTATCTCTAGCCATTGTCTTCCAAACTTCCAATCATTTGTATTTTCATAGACTTCTTTCTTACTTTAGCTTCTTTTCTGCCTTGGAGAACACATAGCAGCAGTCTCCCAGTGCTTGAAGAAGGGTCTTTGTGCTCGACAGCTTGCAAATAACTTTTTTTTCTAACTATTAAATTAGCCTAATAGAAGATATCACATCTACCCAAAGAACTTTGCCTGCCTTTCATTCGTTTTACATTTATAATACACACATGCCTCCTGCCTGCTCTGGCCCTCGATGAGAAAGGCAGTGACTGCCTTACTCCTATACGTCGCTCCCTCACTCACAGCTCTTAACCACAGCCCCACTCCCCACAGATGCTTCTGCGGACAGCAGTCTCAGGTGTATTTAGAGCCCCAGAACATGCTGCTGCTTCAGAGCCAGCAGGCCCCACACAGCCAAGCTCTGGCAGCTGCCAAGGAGAAACCACTTTTGCAAAAGTGCCCAGGGCCTGATGAAGTGGACTGTCCCTCGCACAGCACCTAACCCTGCCAGCACACAGCCCAAGATCTCTGCGGCAGCCCCAGCGGTCAGGCCCCTGCTGCACACATGGTGTTGCCATGGCAGTTGCAGCAGCAGCAACCAGTAATTGTCCCTTTGTTGCTGAGTGCAGTGCCCTGTGCTTGCTCCCTGGTGCCCCCTACCCTTCCTGCTTCTCACTGGGACCTCTAGTCTGCCATGCACTCAGACCAGTGGTGGGGTGCGAGGACTGGACTATGCTCACCAGGGTGCTCCAAAAAAGCCGATAGCCGATAATGTAATTTCTCTTAACAGTGCCGATCCAACAGCCCACCGATATATCAATGTGTCCTTAACTACAACCATTTCTAAATCTAAAAATTATGATCGAGAAAGGGAGGAAAGTGGATCCAGCTAACTATAGGCCCA